GAGGTGGCACTGCAAAGGAAGAAGCCAGTGTTCCTCGTCTGATACAGTCCACAGGTTCAGGCATTTGTATACATGTTATTTAAGCAGTCCTGTAAGCTTGGAATGCCTCTCTTCCCTAAACCCACATGCATGTTTATATTATGCTCATGAGCAGGAGAGGCTGTACAAAAGTGGTGGTCCTGTAAATCAGCCCAAAGGCCCATTTAGTCTAGTATTTTGCTTCCAAAAGCAGTTGGCCAGAAGTCTCTGGTGGCTTGCTGACAGGACAGGAAGGTCCTGCCAGTTTGGTGTAGTGGTTAAGTGTGTGGACTCTAATCTGGGAGAACCGGGTTTGATTCCCCACTCCTCCACTTGCACCTGCTGATGTGACCTTGGGTCAGTCACAAGCTCCGGCACAGCTGTCCTTGAAAAAGAGCAGTTTGTGTCAGAGTTCTCTCAGCCCCACCCACCTCACAGGGTGTCTGTTGTGGGGAGGGGAAGGGAAAGGAGTTTGTAAGCCGCTCTGAGACTCCAAGTGAAGGGCGGGGTATAAATCCAATCTCTTCTCTTCTTCTTCTCTCTTTCCCCAGGTGTCTTACTACAACATCCAGTTATTTGTGGCTAATAATATACATGAAGCTGCCTGATATTGAATCATACATCGGTCCTGCAGCGTCCGTATTGTCTGCTCAGACCTGCAGGAGCTCTCCTGTGTCTCATGCAGATGTCTTTCACATCACCTACTTCCTTGCTCTTTCAACTGGAGATGCTGAGGATGGAGCCTGGGACTACTGCCATATTTCACTGCAAGCAATTCTAAAAATTAATTCAGGTAAGACTGAAATGCTCTGGCCTGTAAGGTCCAGGCTAGCCTGATCTCATGAAGTCTCAGAAGCCTAGCAGGGTTGGCCCTGCTTCATATTTGGATGGGAGACCACCAAGAAGTCCAGGGTTGCTTTGCAGAGGGAGGTAACAACAAACCATCTCTTGTCTTGAAAACTCTATGGGGTAGCCATGAGGTCTGTGACTTGGTGGAACTTTCCACTACCACCAAGTCCAAAACAATTTTGCATGGGTCATCTGAGGATAAGAACATAAGAACATAAGAGACGCCAATGTTGGATCAGGCCAAAGGCCCATCCAGTCCAACACTCAGTGTCACACAGTGGCCAGAAATACCAGTGCCATCAGGAGGTCCACCAGTGGGGCCAGGACATTAGAAGCCCTCCCACTGTTGATTCCCCCAAGGATAATGCTGGGATTGTCAGCTTTGTGAATCCATTCTTCATTAGGGTCTGGTGGACACAGAACATTTTGCTGGACCCTCTATTTGCGATTTAAAAAGTCCAAGCTGTTTACCATAATGAGATTTAGAAAGATCCTCCAGATTTCCCAAGGCACTGATTCCCAACCATTTATGAAGGGGAAAAAAATTGTTTATTTTACATATCATAAAACTTGGACATAGAGGCCCTAACTGCGGCCACTCCATCAGCCATATTTATTTATTTGTCTATTTATTTATTTTCTCAAATTTTTACCCTGCCAAGGCCAGCTCAGGGCGGCTTACATAAAATCAGCATATATATGCAATTAAAACATTTAAACCAAGCTAAAACTAATTAACAATTACACAATAAGTGCTAATTTGTTGTTGTAACTGAGTCAATGATGGCTACTATATAAGTTCTTTCTTCCCATAACTGGCTCCTAGATCTATTTAGGTTATCTTCCAGGTGGTTGGCACAGGCTGATATTATAAATTCCAGAGACAACAGGGCTTCCTATCTTTTGACAACTAGTTGTTACTAAAGTTCAGTGGTGTTCAATGGTGCTCAATGGTGGCAGTGGCTCCATAAGCCTGGCGGAAGAGCTCCGTTTTTAGGCCCTGCAGAACTGTAAAAGGTCTTAACATCAAGCCCTTCCTCAGGGATTAATTAATTCTTTATTAACTACATAGTCTTTTGGGGTATGTTTTGATGCCGAATGCCACTGAGAAAGATGTTATTTCAGCTCTTTGCTGTAGTCACTTCTCTTCTCCCTTTTAGACCCCTTCTGCTGTGTCCTTAAGCCACGAAACAGGCCAAATCACCTCACACAGAGCCTCTCCCATAACCAGGCAGCTGGGAGAAGGGTCAGGCTGTTTGGCCGATAGCAGTATAGAGTTCTGTGCTTTCAAAATGGACATTCATTCAGCTGTCTGGGTAAACTGGAAAAGACTTGAAGATCTTTTCGTGTTGTTGATACTCCTGGGAACAAATATTTTAAAATAAAGATTTCTAGTCATGTTTTTAGAATACTGCAAGAATTTCCTGTTTTACTTACAACGGTGATGTTTTCACATAGCTGACATTTCCACTAGGCTTGGGACACTCTGGGCTAACACACTGAAAGCCTCCTCCTGTGTTAATGCACATTGTTCCTCTTGTGCAGTTGTGCAGCGAGAGACCACATTCATCTATATCTGCAAAACAAAGGGGAATGTAAAGACCGTGGCACCTGTTCCTATGGGTTAGGATTCGTGCACAGCAGAATAGCCATGAAAGAGGAGTGCGGAACATGATCTCCATCCATTTTCCGTTTATTTATCAAACTTATATCCCACTCCCTTCCCCCAAACAGGACTTGGGGTGGCTAGCAGCATATAAAATACACCAAATAAAAACAATATAAAAGATACAATAAATGAACTTTAAAAATATAAAAATGAATAAAACTCTATCTCCGTTACTGCAATGTAGTCTATGTGGGGCTGTCCTTGAAGACAACCCAGTGGCTATTAGCCACAAGGTATAGATGGAACACTATGTCTGGGGCAGTGGTGCTCTGTATGCTTGGTGCTTGGGGGGGGCAAGAGTGGGAGGGCTGCTGGAATTCTGCCTTCGCTGGTAGACCTGATGGCACCTGGTGTTTTTGGCCACTGTGTGACACAGTGTTGGACTGGATGGGCCATTGGCCTGATCCAACATGACTTCTCTTATGTTCTTATGTTCTAACCTGGAATCTACAACTGGTCCAGAATGCAGTAGCCCAGCTACTGTCAGGGGCTAGCTGCCAGGAACATATGTTGCCCATTTTGAAACAGCTACATTGGCTGCCAGTTTCTGTTTCTGAGTTTAATTCATGGTGCTCGTTATGACCTTTATAGCACTTAATCGCATATTTGAAAGAATGTCTCCTTCCATATGTCCCTGTGCACCAACTTATGGTAATCAGGCAGCCATTGGTTGGCTATCCCACCCCTTCTGGTGGCCCATGTGGCTGTAGCCAGAGTCTGGGCCTTTTCTGATGGCTCCGACTCAGTGGAATGGGCTCCCTAAAGAGGTGGGGAGGCCCCTCTCCTTGGAGATCTTCAGGAGGTGCGGTAAGGCCTGCCTGTCAAGTTTTTTGAGGGAGTCTGAATTGGCAGGCATCTTTTAAGGAAGGGAGAGGAGAGAGATTTGGGGTTTGCTATTTTATTTTTGGTTTTAAACTGAAACTGTTTGTAACAATTTTTGTAAGCCTCCTTGAACCACAAGGAGATGTGAGATATAAATGTTTTATTATTATTATTTATTCCATTTGTTAATTTCCCTATTCCCAGCTTGTGCCAGGCTCTGTTATTTATTAAATAACAAATAATACATTCCTGCAATTGTGAACACATTCAATAAACTACCGGTAACATCTAGTGTCTTCTGTATTACAGCATTCCATATTCTGAATCATAGGTTTTTGAGCAGTATTCATCAGTCATTTGACATCTGTAGATTTCTGATATTCCAACAATCTACTTAATTTAAGCCGTTCCCTTACTTTATCTATCCCCTCTTTCCCCTCTTTGGGGGAGCACCCGTTGTCTCTGATCTCTAGCAAAAACTAATTGTATTCCAAACAAACACCTGCATTCCCTTTGGAACCATTACGATATAATTAAACAATCATCTTTCTGGAAGGCAAGGAAGGTCTATACTTTACCCTGGTGACAGCACTTTGGAAACCATTTTCCAAACTCTTTGGGCAAGAATGCACTTTTACCATATATGATAGACAGGTGTGTTTTGCTTATTGCAAAACCAAGGCTTGCTTTCCATCTATTTTTAAAAACATAGCTAATTTCCCAGGGAAGACGCTTTTGCTCAGCTCACCAGGTGTGCAAGCCTGAAGCTTTTCCAGGGCACATTTCCCTCAAATGCACCCTCAAGACAAGATCTAACAGGAAATAATCTGGAGGCATGTGATGCAACAACCTGGAGGGAAGACCTCCCTGGAGTCCCATGTGTTATGTATTGAGATGTATATAACTGCTATGTGAATGTAAATACTGATATGTGAATTGCCTGATTGAGATGCCATGCTGAGCTTCATCCTGGGCTAGGATCCTAATGTAACCAATAGGAGCCCTAGCCCAGAGAGTGTCAACCAATCACGCAGTAAAGCGGGACCGCTTGTGATTGGACGTTATTGCTTCAACCTCATAGGTTGTGATTTGTACAGAGGGTGTGGCTACACTAGCCGGGAATGTTTAAAAGCAGGCCAGCTTCTGTGTAAAGCTGTCCTGGCTGACTGATCGTTGTACCGAGTTCGGAGAAGTAACAGAGCTGAAGAATAAACCGCATTCTTGCTGAATCACTCTCCGACTTCTTTGTTAAGCACACGACTTAACAATTGGCGACGAGGATGGGATCCTAGTGCGGGTAGGCAGCCCCGCTAGAACAGACCCCATGTCGGACAACGAGGAGATCGCCGAGGCCGGCCAGCCACAGGCTCCACCCGCTCTGGTGGCTCCGCCTGTGCGCATAACGATGGCCGCGAGCAGCCAGAAGTTCGAATGTTTCGACCCGACTACTGAAGACTGGGACTCTTACCTCACCAGGTTTGAGTTCCATCTGGAGGCGAATGACATCACGACGGAAGAGAAGAAGAGGGCGACTCTACTCAGCTCGTGTGGAAAGAGCGTTTTTGACATCGCCCGGTCACTGGTGGCGCCAGATGACCTCAAAACTGTATCCTTTAAAAATGTGACAGACAAGCTGAAATCACATTTCTCTCCACAGCCGTCGGAAATCGCCTGCAGGCACGCTTTTTACAAGCGAGGTCAGAATGCGAACGAGCCCATAGCTGAGTACGTTGCAGCTCTTCGCAAGGCAGCACGGCCTTGCAACTTCGCGAATGTGGAGGAGGCCCTCCGAGATCGCCTCGTTTGTGGTCTGAGAGACGAGCGACTGCAGCAACGCTTGTTCGCAAGAACTACACTAACGTGGGCCATCGCCTATGCCGAGGCTGTCGCCGCGGAAGCTGCTGACAGGTCAACCAGGGAAGTGAGACAACGGGTCGCCACAGCTGATCAACGCGTCCACCAGCAGAGGGCTAACGACGCAAGCAGCGACTCCGATGATGACGTCTGCAAAGTGAAGGCGGGAACGTCCAAGCGGACCCAACGGAAGCCTGCCGAGTGTACAGCATGCGACGGTTGCGGCGGGAAACATCGGCGCGAGCGTTGCTGGGCAAGGGACCTCGACTGCCGGTCATGCGGGAAGCGGGGGCATGTTGCCCGGGTGTGCAGAGCAGCGAACAAGTCGTCACCCGCATCATCGCCCCGACGGCACCAACGTCCC